GTTTGACAGGAAAAATTGATTTTTCCCAATTAAAAACCACTATCAATCAGAGCCTATTTAGGTATTTATTAAATCTTCATCAACTGTCCACGTTTGCTATTACCTACTGCGGTTATAATTGATTTAGTTTGAATAAAGCCAAAGTCGTATAATATGTTGGTTGTTTTACAAAATACTTATTGTATAACTAAAAAAATTACCATACATTTACAATTGCGTTTGGTTGTAAGGAAGACTTTGAAGAAGATGTTTTGAATTTTAAAACTATGACTTTCCCTTTATACAAATAGCAAATTATGCATTCTTTGCGTGCAATAGTCCAATAAATGTTTAGGTTCATCGGTAAAAGTTGAACTATATGACGATTTTTGGATGGGATTTTTGTTTTGGCAATAGGAATTTTTGAAAGTGGATTATTGGTTCTGTTTTGGAAGTGGAATCGAATTTTTTGGTCCAATCGGTGAAAGGCTATTTATTTTTAGTGAATATTTCAATCAGAACCAAACAGTTTGCAAGGGAAAAATTCAAGTTTCAATGTCGATATTTAATGAAAGGCAGAAAACACATTGAACTATCTACATAATATATCTAACTTTTGGAAAATTTGAAGTTTTTAATGGCAAAACCTTGACTTGTTTAAAGACTATAGTTGCTTTAAATTTAGTTAATTTTCCAGAATTTTTCCTAGAGTGATTTTTTACTGATTTTTTTTTTTCTATTTTCTAGATTCTATAATTTTCTCTTGGATAGTTTTCCAGAGAAAAATTATATCGATTTTAATAGTAGATCTTCGCTTACTCAAAAAAGAAAAATTCAAAGGCTTGAGCTAAGCAAGAGAAATTTGCTATAAATCCTGAAAATTTGAATATCTACCATACAGGGTGTGACAACAAATTAATGCGCACTTAAAGTGGATGTTGGGACAAGAAAAGTTTTGACTTTCTTTTTGAGGGTTTTTTAGTGATTCGGGATTCGGATTTACAAGGTGTGCAAATAATTTCAAACAACCATCTAGGATTTTCTATAATTAGTTTCTGACATAGGTTTTCGAAAAAAAAAGACATTCTGGAGTATTAAATAGTATTTTTTGTATGTCGATCTTTTCAGTAATCGTTTCCATGTGCCTCTAATTGCCAGCATTTGCTCTTTTGCTTGACTTAAAACACCTAGGTATTCAATTTTTTTTACTAACTTGTTCTTCCTTATAACCAAGGTTCTTGAAGTTCAAAGGTTGCCTAGTAATGATGACCCATCTGGGGTGCCTTATGGTGATTTTCATTATGTTAAGGTACCCCGGACGATGTCATAAGTTATCAGAGCGGCTGAAACTCTTTAACGGATGGAGATCGTTATCATTATGGAAATCAATAGAGAGGAGACGTGGATAGAGATAGAGAAAATATCTCTATTCGGTACAGAGTCCCAGCCGCAACCTACCTTTCTCAAACAATCTTGCCTAGAACTTGACCACACACAAATTATAGTTAAATTCGCCATATTGGCAAGAACGTATAGACAATTAAAATTGTTCCTGATGAAAACTGAAAAGGCTGCCATCTTCAGAGAACATATAAAGTTTAACACTTCAAGGTAGGTACCTAGTTAAAGCAGTCAGTGATGTGTAGCTCGAGAAAATCTTAAAGCCACTATAGAGGAAATCAAGTTTCTCTTAAATAAGAAGCAAATTAACGTGGAAATCAGTTACATATACTCTCTCATCATCTTGATATTCCTATCACTACCTTCTTTTTTAAAAATTAGCAAAAGCATTACAAAATTGTGCAACTTGAATTTGTAAAGAAGGGAAAATCTATTTGTTTGGAAAATTTGATTTTCTCATTATAGTTTTCTCGCATATACCACCCCAAAAAAAAAGCAAATGGCGTCACCAAAAACTAGATTATGGGAAGATGACTGAAAACTAAACACTTTTCTTCTTTTTTATTGGGTTTCAGGATTAATAATCTCCCACAGGACAATTCATCCAGTTCATTTAAATGTGTTTGGACAGTCATCTGGCTCTAAACCATGTTTTCAGACACTGACTTTTACAACTTGTAATGTTGTTTGGGTAGAGGGTCATCGGAAAACACAATATACTTCTAATAAAATCTTGATTATATTGCTGGACTGCTGCCCACTAGCTTTCTAACCTCACCTCGAGGAGGAGCCAGATTGTTCCCACCTGGAATTCACCATCTTTTTCGGAGGTCTTCCGCGTTTTTGTATAAGTAGTACCACTGGAGTCCAGAGGTCCCATGTACAGTCGGTAAATCTGATACAGGGATATATCATATTCTTGTATGTCCGCAACTTCATAGCTTACTGAAGAAACTTTCCTCACTATTTGGTAAGGTCCATTTCTTTTGGGGTAAAATTTCGAGGTTTTTTGCTTAGCAGCAGTGCTAAGGATATTGGTACTTCTAGTATCTTCTTGAAGAGGTCCAAATAAATCGATGTTTAATGTTTCAAATCTCCGAGCATAGGTTGGCGCTTGTACCAAACCTGCTGCCCAAGTAGCACCTAATATTGGGTAAACATCGTTTTTCAGTTGGGCCAATATTTATTCATTTTTGTTGCTAAATCAACACAGTACCAATATTAGGGCAACGTTGGTTTTAACTATGTGGAAACAATATTTTTAAAAAATCTTGTACCGATATTGTTTTCATAGATTAATTAACTTTTCAGTAATTTGAATATTGGCCCAAGACTTCTCACTACAATATTGATTTATGAAATATTGGCCAAATATTACATTTTATATCATCGAAGCAATATTGTAATATAATATTAATTCAATATTGGCGTTCAATTTATTATTGATATATAAATTCACTTCAAAAACTTTGTACACCCAATATTTATTTTCAATTTTTTCACAATATTGATACTTTTTGAAAAGCCCAATAAAGGGCCAATATTTACATACTAATTTTCACCAAGGTTAGATTTTCTGAATTGAAAATGTTGGTCCAATACAGGGTATTTTCGGAGTTCTGTCAAGGAATCAAGTGAGGAAAACAGACTTTCCACACGAGTTAAGAATAATTAATATTTATACATACATGTATATAGTAATTTCGGATATTTTTACATTTCCGCAATACCTTCCAATGTCAGACATTTTGATTTTTGGAGACTCTGTCTTCACTTTACCTGTCTTAAACCTGGTTCTGGGATGAAGCCAAAAATTGGTTGTTTTCTCTCTGCGAGACCCTGGCGGGACTTAACTGTGCTGATGAGTTGTGATACAGCGAAACGGGTCCACGGATGGTCCGGCAGAGAGAAAAACACTTCTCAGTCGATCCTTATAATTGGTCCGTTACCTTAATTAAATATAATATAAAGCCAAGATTTACATACGTCTTCGGGCCAATATTGGTAATTTTAATTAGCTCTATATTGCATAAAGTTCTTGATATGATACTGATTATTTGTTTTGGGCCAACATTTGGTTACGTTATTGTACCAACATTGGTATTTGTTTTTGGGTATATATTGACATACGTTCTTGGACGAATATTGCACATCTTTTATTGCGCCAACGAGAATCTGACTTGGGCCAATAAATCTTAGTTATTGTCCCAATATTGGCCCAACATGAGAGTGCTGCTTGGGTGGCTTTTGATTTGAGGCCTTATATACCGCTGACACTCGATACATTATTCTTCACATATTCCGTTACAAAACCTCGCATTCCAGTGAAATAATAACGCTTTGCTATCCGGTGTAAAGTTCTTTCAGCGCCGTAATGAGCCGTCGGTTTGTCGTGATATTTCTTCAAAACTTTTTCCCGTTCATGCGTCGGGACAAGTTGGGTTTCCTCAGTGTCCGCGTCTCCACAGGAATATCTGTATAGATCATCGTTGACCATGATATACCCTCGATATGTCTTGGAAAATTCATCACTTGATCTATCTTCGAAACGTTTCGGCATTTCTATCGTTACGGTATTTCTATCATTTCGGTGCAAATGTTACAAAACTTCTTGGTCTCGTGATTGCATGGAGGCCTGGATAACATATCTGCTACTACATTCCTTTTACCAGGTAAATATTCTATCCTTTGGTCGTAACTTTGAGCTTGTAAAGCCCACCTGGCTAATTAATTTACCAGTTGACGATTTAAGGTTGAGCATTGAGCGCACACAGATATCATCTAGGTAGATACGCTATAGCACTAATACCGGTACTGAGTCTACGTCTAAACTGATTGATTAAGCGCTGAAAAGTTCCAGGTGCATTTTTCAGTCCAAACGGTAGCAAGAAAAGGCTCAAGACTCTAACCGGGTTTCTCATTGTAGACTTAAGAAACACCTACAGAAGTTGGAGTTAGAAGAAGGTGGCAGTGGTGGCACCTGCAGATTCTGTGAAGACAGAGAAGACCTAGGACTGGAGAGGCTGCTTTGAGCAGAAAACCCGAACTTAGCTCCATACAGAGGGGTAGCTACAATGAATCAACCTTGGTCGCGGTAGAACTGACACTTCCAACACACACATACACCTACTTAAAGCAGAGTTAGAGATGTATACTTCGAGAAAATCTCAAGCCACTAGAGGCAATAAAGTTTCTCTTAAAATAGCAACAGCCAATAGCCAATAGAAAACAAATTAACGTTTAAATAGTGGAAATCCAGTTACATCAAGCTCAGATCCTCTTCTCGACTTTTGACACACTCATTAATATTTCTACTCTTATCAGCTAGTATCCCCATCACTATCTTCTTTGTTAAACATTTGCCCTACTTTAAATTTGTAGAAAAGAGAAAATTTATTCATTTGGAAAATTTTATTTTCCTAGTAGTTTTCTTGCCCTCTCACGAATAGCGTCACAAAAGTCCAGATTATGAGAAAATGAGTGGAAATAAAACACTTCTTGACTTCCGCTCTCCTACAGGGTGATTAAGCCAGTTCAACAACCATCTAGCTCTAAACCATGTTTCCAGATACTGAATTTTATAACTTGATTCATCTATAGAGCATTTCCAAAAAGAAATCAACACTTTCATTATAATTTTTATTGGAATAGTATAAAATGTACAATTATTACACTACACTTAACTACTTTATGGGTCTTATTATTCTATGTATGTACTTAGAGAAGATTTCCAAAATAGGATTTTCGCAAACAGAAACCGTTTTGCATACATTAAGTAAATTATAAAATGACAATTAAATAATTATAGATTGAAAAGCAGACCTTAACTAAATTAAAAATTATCACAGATCAAAAGCAAAACATGTTTGTTTTTGACAAATTATATTATTATTAGCACATAACATAACATTAAAAGCGTACAAGTGAATAATAATTAAAACTAAACACCTACAAACAATAATAATAATAATAATTTGAATATTAAGCACTCATTCAGTCAATATACTTAAGTATATGTACAAAATTATGGGTTGACAAAATTTACGAATTGTCAAGTTGATGTATTCTCGGATTCAGTACGCCAGGAGATCTCGGCAAGAGTTCCTTGAGAGAATAGTATCTTTCGGTGTCTTCCTTGTCCACCGATGTTATGTGCTGGAAGCAGCAAGGTTGCGAAATATGGCTTTTTGACGGTAGGGGTTGAGGTTTTTCTTTTTTCTCCTTCTTCTTCTTCTTTTTACCTGGAAACAAAGGAAAAGATCATGATTCAAGATACTATATTATAATTATTATATAGGGTTTATCTTTAAGAAATCTGTCATCAAAGATATCATCAATAATAATTCTATAATACCGGCCCTTAAAAAATCATTGGAGTCCCAAATACAGGGTTGTCGTTATGTATGGAAACGGTCTGATATTTCAGAACCGGCTTGAAAAAAATTTACAATATTTCCTACCTGGGGGGGGTTTTTGGGAATGCCCGATTCAATGGTGGCATTTGCAATGTTGCCAACTTTACCGTTTCTTAAATGCCGTATGTAACTTGATTTTTTTTAAATGGATGCCCCTCTTTATTTTTATTGTAATTAATTCAGCGTTCCAACATTACCAAAATCCCTAAATGTCAAAACTTCATTTTAATTGGTTGATGAAATATGGCAACACAGATTTTTTGTTAAAATGTATGGAAACAGTCTGGTATTTCAGAAAAGACTTCAGCAAAATGTACAATATTCCCTACCTAGGGGTTTTTGGGAATGCCCGATTCAATGGTGGTACTCGCAGTTTTGCCAAATTCACTATTTATAAAATACCGTATGTAACTTGATTTTTTCTTAAATGGATGCCCCTACGGGCAGTTACATACGCCATCTTAGAAACGGTAAACTTGGCAACATTGCAAATACCACCATTGAATCGGGCATTCCTAAAAACCCCCCAAGTAGGGAATATTGTACATTTTGCTAAAGTTTTTTCTGAAATACGAGACTGTTTCCATACATTTCAACAAAAAATCTGTGTTTATGGTAAATTTAGTAATATTGGGACAATGAATTGATTACAATAAAAATAAAGAAGGGTATCCATTAAAAAAAATCAAGTTAAATACGACATCTTAGAAACGGTAAACTTGACAACATTGCAAATACCACCATTAAATCGGGCATTCCCAAAAAACCCCCAGGTAGGAAATATTGTAATTTTTTTTCAGGCCGGTTTTGAAATATTGGACCGTTTCCATACATAACGAAAACCCTATATATAAATTAATTAACTGCGTATTATACAGGGTGTTCCTAAATATCATGTACAAATGGCAAAGGGTAATTCTTTGTTTTTTTTTATGACTGAAATCTCAAATATGTTCTAAAAAATTGACTTATTTGAGCAAAATTTAAAAAAATTCACCTCTCACATTTTAATTTTTTTCTGGAAAACTTGCAAAGGGAAAATTTTGAAAATTTTCCAGGAAAAAGAAAAAAGTGAGGAGCTCATTACAAGGAAACTTCGAAATTTTCCAGTGAAAAATCACTCCAGGAAAAATTCAAAGAAAACTGACTTATTCAGGCAAAATTAAGGAAAATTCACCCACTTATATTTTAATTTTTTCTGGCAACGGGAAAGTTTTTAAATTTTTACAGGAGAAAGAAGAAAGTGAGGAGCTCATTAGAGGAAAATTTTAAAATTTTCCAGTATAAAATCACTCCAGGAGAAATTTATTTATATATTTTCGGATAACTGAATAAACTTTATTCTAAGTTAAAAAATGTATTACAAAACAATAATTCCGAAGGTGCTCTATGAATTAATCTATGACTTAAATTTTTCTCTAAGTTATGACGTCATCGATGACGTAAGTAAAAACCTTCGTTCCGTGCAACGAACTATATGTTTGTTTGAAATTTCATACATAAAAAAAAACCCATTTTATAAAAAAAAAAAAGACAAATGATGACGTAAGTACAAACCCTCATGAAACTAACTTTTATTTTCGATTTTGATTTTTCACAGCTAAAACTTTAACTTCAAAGCACGATGTTTATTTGTAGATGGATACCTTGAACATGACTCTTTTTTTTTTTGACGTTGTGATATACAGGATGTTCCATTGAAAATAGTGGAGAATTTCGATGTTGAAAAACGGACTTTTTTTAAGTCGCCCTGTATAAGTATGTGAAAAAAAAAAATGCAACCTACTACAAAAAACTTTAGATCCAGAGAAATCGAATGGCGCAAGCCGCAGGTAACTAGCACACCTGGTTGAAGAGTTATAAGCATTTAAAATGGGTCACCCTTGGCTGGGACACCCTGTATTGTGAATAAGCGAAATTGTAGATAGGTATACTAAAAGCCATATAATATTTTAAGCATTTCCAAATTATGGGTTTTAGATTCATTGTTTTATGGGTAGTTCCGGCTATTGTGTGGTTAACAGCGGCATTACCGGTATTACAAAAAAGACATTTATTTCATTGGGTTAGTTTTCTTTGCTTTCCTAGCTACACTGATGAGATCTGATAGATCGAAACGTGTCTGTGGATGGAAAGGCGAGAAAAATTACCCACATTTTCATATTTTTGTTTATTGTTTCCAAGATCTTAACACGAAAATCATGTTGGACTTCCAAGACGGGCATTATCTTCAAAAGAGTTTCAACACATTTTGCCATTACAAATAGGTAGGTAATCTTCAAAATTTTACGAGGCAAAAAGCTCAATATCTTATATCGTGACTGGGTAATAGGGCGGATATCAGTAACAAATAATTTATGACCCATTCATTACAATCTTGCTTGCTCCATAAAACTCTATACCTTTCAAGCTTTATCAAAATAATGTTAACCTATTTGTACACTGATAAAGCTTCTTATCAATCAATAAAACAAACATATACCTGGCAAACTCAACGAAATATTCTCAGGACAAGCGACCAACTTTTCAATGTGACTCCACATATCCTCGGCAGCCGGTTTCGTATCGAAACTGAAACCGACTCGCATTGTGTGGTCGCAGGAGTATAGCATTGTGTGAAACGATGCTCCGTCTACTTTATACGAAGATAAATTGTCTATTGTGTCCGACCACAGCATGAAGCAGGTGCCTGAAAAGAGCATTGTTCATAGTTTTGTTTTGGAAAATGTATACGCCTGGAAATTTACCTCGCTCCGCCAATGCAATTTGAATTCGACGTTTATCTCTCGCTCTGGATTCGCCACAATCCAGAATCACCACCGGAATGCCGGTGTATTTAAGTTGCCAGTCGTCGTCGTTTTGTCCTTTTATGTACAAGTTTGCCAAGGAATTACTTACAAATACCTGAAAAATAGAATCGAATAAATCAATATCTAACATTGGGTGTGTAGGTCAATATCATTATTGCTTGTCTTTGAAGTGATAGGAAAACAGCACTCCCTATTTTGTTGATTCAATATACTTTACGTTGCTATAAAGTGTATGCAAAATCGATTCATGTAATATGAGTCATTCGTTTCACTACTTGTACATATATTGGTTTAATTAAACCAACAATGAGTTATTGTATTCAGTTTCATTATCACTTTTGCACCTCCAGTTACTTTACGGGATTTTCTCAAAAACAACTTTTAGTAAACCATTTCATTATTGCATTGTTACAGGTGAAATTAGCAAATCCAAATTAACTTGATTTTGAACCGTGTGACCAATAAAGTACATGTTTACTTCAATTTATGTAACAATTTTAAAAATTCGTGATGTTTTTGACGAAACCCCTTGCAAATTATGTGTACACACTATTAAAATAAAGTCACGTTCTCGTTCGTGCCTAGACAATAATGACTCAAAGATCAATCCTTACCTGTGTCTTGAGGCCTTTAAAAAAAGTTTCGACTTTTTGCCGTTCCATGTCGGTAATGTGGCCTTCCAAAGGAGTTTTACGCTCTTGCATGTCCGAAGAAGCTTCACTATCGGCTCTACCGTCGCTGCCATCTTCGTAGCTGCTTCCTGAAGCTGTTGTACTCGAATCTCCACTATTTTCACCTTAAAGAAGAAGAAAGAAAATGAATTACCCATAGAATATTTACTGGAAAAAATAAGTTAGCTCAAATTTAGGGCTTTTAAACTCTGAACAACAGCAGCTCAACAACATTAACGACATCTTCATAATATCTCACCAACAACAACAGCATGTAAAAGGGCAACTTTTTCAAGTTACTATTAATATTATATTATATTCATGTAGTTTTCCATGACGCAATGCTAGAATTGTTAGAGGTTTGGTCACCGAGTAAGAGATTGTAGTGTACCCAAACATGAAGGACATGAAGGACCCAATGACACAACGTCAAATAACAACTACAAGAGGTTCCAATATTAATAGGACAAGCATTTACTGAGCAACCAGGGTTACTTGTATCAAAAGATAGTAAAAATCTGAGATTCAGTGAACTTCAACAACCAGAGAACCAGACTATAATAACGTTATGGTTAGAAGAAGCAACTGTTATTCCATTCCACCAAATCATGTTGGAAATCTTCGTGTTATTAGCAAATTCATCAGTTCAGGGAGCATTGAACATTGAAGCCTGTTTCAGATATCAACTGGGGAGGGAAGATGCAATTCCTCGGATCCTTATTCACTTATCTCCGGAAAACGTACCAATAATCCCAATAATAAATGTATCGGGCAAATATCTCACTCTAAGCAATAAAGATCGTATAGCTAGAGCATTCTTCTGCAAAATGGAAGCTAGAGATCAATCTGCACGTATACTAACAGGAATTCAGATATTTCTTCGGCACTGTATCTGAACATTTTGGGTAAGCTAAATCAGCTGAGATCAGTGGCGGCTCGTCAGAGGAGGCAAAAAATTGAAAATTCAATCTCAGTTTTTTTATTCCTGATTCCTAATTAAAATAAGAATTCACAAATTACACTTTCCAAATTTCGATATTTCAATGTAATTTAGAAAAATCTGACAACATTATTTCAATCAATCCCGCTCTTCCACGACAAAAATCTGGGATATTCAATAATAGGGCCGGAGTAATACGCGAGCCCGAAGGGCCGGAGTTATACGCCAGCCCGAAGGGCCGGAGTTATACGCGAGCCCGAAGGGCCGGAGTTATACGCGAGCCCGAAGGGCCGGAGTTATACGCGAGCCCGAAGGGCCAGAGTTATACGCGAACGCGAGCCCAGTCTATAATTCTATTGGTCAGCGGATAATTTAGAGCCAACCGATCGTTTCGAGTTATATCTCTTTTGAAAGAGAATGAAATTACCCATAAAATATTTTTTTATTGAGATTCCAGACCGTTTTCGTCTTTGAGATATCAGCTGTCAAAGTTGAAATTCTTTGTAATTTTGTTAAAATTTTCCAGGTCGATTTTCTCGAAAACGGTGTCCCGTGGCGGGATACTTCTTATAGGCTTTTTCGTAGTACTCGACGAGGTCTATAAGTTTTGTATTTGAAGTTTTTCTCCCGAGCCCTTCGTTTTCGAGTTAGGACGTTTTGAAAATTTGAATTTTTTTGTCGAAAAAATTTAAATTCTATCGGATAGAAGAGCAAAAAATACGATGAAAAGTTAATTTGACCCTCCTCTCTACGGCACATCTTAAAGCTATTATTCACTCATTATTTTTTAGCCTCCTTACTTGAAATAGTCACGAGCCGCCACTGTATAAAATGGTATTCAAGCTCACAGACGACCAACCTTCTTCCTACAGACCCTATAGAATAGCAGAAACGGAAAAAGAAGAAGTGAGGACAATAGTTGGGTTTCTGAGTTACTAGGAGCCGGAATAGTGCGCGAATCTACTTCTTGTTATGCTTCTCCTGTGCCCTTAGTTAAGAAGAAATATGGCAATGACAGAATGTATGTGGATTACAGAAAACTTAATCTCAAAACAATCAAAAACGGATATCGACTGCCTCGTATTGATGACCAGAAAAATAAATTAAGCGGATGTTCAGTATTCACCAGTTTAGACCTTAGCTCAGGATACCACCAGATTCCAACAGCCGAACATAGTAAACACCTTACATCTTTTGTAACACGTGAAGGACAATACGAGTACAACCGAATGCCATTTGGACTCAGTAACGCACCAGCAATCTTCCAGCGCATGATGAATCAAATATTAGCTGCAGTTTATCTTGACGACGTAATTTTACTAAGAAAAAGTCCCGAAGGAAATTTATGTAGCATCCAAATAATATTCCAATCATTACGAAATGAAAATTTGACGCTCAACATCAACAAATGCGCTTTTCTTTGTTCAACCGTAAATTATTTAGAATTTGAAATAGACCAACATGGAGTACGACCTGGGGCTGCAAAAATAGAGGCTTTTCAGAATTTCCCTGTACCAAAAGCTGTTAAGCAAATTCATTAGTTTCTAGGCTTAATTGGATATCTTAGGAAATTCGTCAAAAATTACTCAAAAATTCTAAAAACCTCAATTACATTAACAGAAGAAAAATATCCCGTGGGAATGGGGATATCCTGAAACATAGGCATTTGAAGATTTGAAAAGCAGATTAATAGAACGCCCTATACTTGCTATATGAGACCCAATTTTAGCAACAGAAATTCACACAGACGCTAGTCAAAACGGCATTGCAGGTAGGGTTGCCAGACTTCCTATTTTTGATATGAGACTCATATATTTTAACTCTTTCTCATATCTCATATTAGTATGTTTAATATGAGACTATTTCTCACATATTTTCATTTTAGGAACCTTTGGTCACGACCAATGAATTCCATTATTCTTTTCGATATATCTTCGCGGGTTATATGATGTGATTTGAAATTTTTGAAAAAAATCATACTTTTATTTCTTTATTAAATGATAAAACAAGAGCAAGTTGCCAACTATGGTAGAAGGAATTTTGTATCAATAATCATAATGCACCAGGTACTTTATTTCCTAGCTTTTATGATTATTGTTGTATATGTGGCAACTGTGCCACAGTATATCTCAGGAAATGTGCATGCGATGCCGTATAACCCGATATCTGTCCAATGTAGAAAATAGAGAGTTATTGAAACTATTAATTAAATACTGCTTCGCAGTAATAAGGATCTACGTTATTTTATTAGTGCATCAGTACTATTTTTCCAAGAAAATAACAGTTATTGGAAGACTGTAGTAGGTGTTAGAATATAACCTTATTTTGTATTCATAATTTTGACAGCTGATAGCTATGTGCTATGTTTATGAATTTCAACCTCAAAAAGTGTTTATTTTTGTTTGTGATTTTCTGTTGATGCGCATTTTTTGATGTTACCTACAGTAAAATGAAAAACTATTGTAAAAAACAAATTCTCTAGTAAAATTACGTCATCGGCGAAAAGCGAAACGTCAAAGTCGTCAGAAAAGTCAGAAATATTGAAATAAGGGAAGTTTACTGCCTCGCACTAACCATACACAAATAAAGACAAGCAGTAACCTTATTTTCGGACCTAAATGCGCATGCGCAGATGTCAAAATAAGGCCAATTTAAATACTGCTTGTCCTTATTGAACGTCCAATAACTCTCTAATAACTTGTGAGCTAACGCTAAATAAATCGTTTATTTAAATGTCGCGAGTTTCATTTTAAAAGAAGCACCAAACACTCATATTACGATATGGGTATTTTACAATGCATAAAATATTCTCATATATTATTATCCAATCTCATATAATTTTATACAGGCTTTCCTATTTTCAAAAGTCAAGCATCTGACAACACTAATTGCAGGAATCCTACCTACTTCAGCATTATGAATCTCAATTAAGACCAGTGGCGTATTACAGTAAACACACTAATAATGCAAAGAGGAAATACCATTCCTAGGAGTTGGAAACTCTAGCGGTTGTAGAGACACTGGGCTCAAACTTAAAAATTGTTACTGACTGCAGCGCTTTAAAAACAAGAGACCTCATACCCAGAATAACTCGTTGGTGGCTCCAACTTCAAGAGTACACATTCACTATAGAATATTGTCCTGGTAACAAGATGCAACACGTTGTGGCTCTTAGCAGGAATCCATTGGAAACAGAAGAATCTCCTGCAGAAAATTTTATTCTAAGAATTCAAGAAGCAAATTGGGTTTTGTCAGTCCAGCTTATGGATGAAAAAATCAAATTAATACACTATAAGCCTCCAGAAACCTACTATGAAAAGGATATATACAAAAATTATGTTCTAAGAAGCAGCAGAGTGTACCGAATTACTCCCATAGGAATTCAATGGATTGTTCCTCAAGGTTTTAGACGTCAAGTAGTGAGTTAATTCGCAGCTCAACAAGAACTCCAAGACAACAATAGTCAAATTCAAGCTAAATAAATCTGTATAATTTGATTGACCCTAATGAAATATGGTTTGCACTTATTGTCCAATTCAAATAGTAATTTCTCTCACTTTCTTCTTGTAAAATAATCAGTATTATGTAAATTCTATTGACAAACTAGATGCTGGTACTACTACTACTAGAAAACGTTGCACACCTAATTATAAACCCATTAGTACCGACAACACAAAAAAATTTGTGGTACCCTTGAGTTCAGCCTCATTCTTTAGTAGTTTTTCTGCCAACGAAAAGGTCAACGATTTACAGAGGCACGTAAAACCCATATTTTTTTGAAATTTGAGATAAAACGGGTACTTGAGCATTGTTTGCCCAGGGTTTTGTTATCGTGACGCTTTTCCTGTGTTCGAAGAAACATTATGCTGACTTTATGACCGTTGATAATTTGTCGATCCTGCGAGAAATTATTGTATGCACAGATTATGATTATTGTGAGAAGCATGGCGTTGTAAATGGCACGTTTTGTGATTATTTGTGGCTGTTCAATTAGCTATTAAAATATATTTTCGAAATGGGGTTTGCATAAAATCTCGATTTATTACATTTCAACTATTTCCGGCTTTAATTTCGTCATTCTTGTTTCTAATATCCGATGGAAGCCAATGAATGAACATAATTTCAAAATTTTGATAATTCCTGGTGTTGTGAACCAGTAAATTCAACATTTATTATTAATAACAATTACATATGTTCATCACAGTTCCTCTCTTTAACAAATTCCACCATCTGTTAGGTTTGGTCCCTTATCAGTTAGGTACTTTATAACTCATTGATTATTTAGGTTCTAAAGATGTGCCGGATAGAATTATTTTACAACCAATGTCCTGTAAACATCAATATCCCAACAAGATGTTTCCATTTGTCGGTATTCGGTACCTCTATTGCAGAAACTCAAATTATTGGGTTTGAATATAACCCTTGTGTTCTTGCCACCAAAGACACAATACTTTTTCCTAATTTTATTATTCCAGATGGTGAGAATTGCCCTTACCCTTTAGGTTACTTTTAAGTTTTAAAATTAGAGTTAAGGGAGTCGCATTATAACATCGATAGAAAACAGTCGGGTCGTAACATTCGCTTTGGAACATAACTTTTTCATATCAGCCAAAAATAAACTACACTTCCAAATTATTTCGTGTTTTACTTTTACTTTATACCGGATAATAGGTACAAGGCTTAGAAAAAATCCGAAATTTATAATATTGGAGCCAGCCGAAAACTCCGGGTTCATAACATAAGTGGCATCGGTCAACTCCAGTCTATAACACCTGTATATATATTCAATATTTCAACGTATATTGTGCCTATATTCAATAGGGTTCCACATTCATCTTTTGATAGGTGATAAATAACATCTCTGACAACATTGTGTCCATTTTTCTCAAACTCTGTATGGTTTTATATGTATGTATAATTATTTGACCAATACTTCATTGTACAATTTGACAGAAGCAACCATTGATAGTCAATTTCAAGAGCTGGGAATAGACAAAAATTGATTGAAAAAAATCTTTATTAAGCCTAGTACTAATAACTGCGAAATTCGCATTTTTTTGATATTGCGTTGACAATTTCACGTTTCATGCGTGTATCAAACGTCAAATTGTCGAAGCAATGTCAAAAAAATGCGAATTTCGCAGTTATGAGTACTAGGCTTTATTCGTTCAATGGAAAGTTTGTCATCGGCCCTCCTTTTCTAATCAATGAGAGTGACAAGGGATTTTCTGGAAAAATATGAGGTAATCAAGTTGGCCATGGATTGACATGTGCATAATTATTTGACTGATACTTCATTGTACAATTTGACAGAAGTGACCATTGACAGTTAACTTCAAGAGCCGGGAATAGACAAAAATTGATTGGAAAGAAATTTTTATTATTTGTTGAATTGAAAGTTTGGTCATCGGCCCTTCTTTTCTAATCAATAAGAGTGACAAGGGACTTTCTGGAAAAATATGTTATCAAATTGGCCATAGATTGACACATGCATAATTATTTGACCAATACTTCATTGTACAATTTGACAGAAGTAACCATTGACAGTCAACTTCAAGAGCCAGGAATAGACAAAAATTGATTGAAAAGAAATCTTTATTATTTGTTGAATTGACAGTTTGTCATTGGTCCTTTTTTTCTAACCAATGAGAGTGACAAGGAACTTTCTGGCAAAATATGTTATCAAGTTGGCCATGGATTGACACATGCATAATTATTTGACAAATATTTCATTGTACAATTTGACAGAAGTGATCATTGACAGTCAACAAGGGCCGATAATAGACAAACATTGATTGAAAAGACATCTTCATTATTTGTTCAATAAAAAGTTTGTTATCGGTCCTCCTTTTCTAATAAATGAAAGTGACAAGGAACATTCTGGCAAAATATGTTATCAAGTTATCCATGGATTGACATATGCATAATTATTTGACAAATATTTCATTGTACAATTTGACAGAAATGTCCATTGACAGTCAACTTCAAGAGTCGAGAATAGACAAAAATTCATTGAAAAAAAATCTGTACTATTTGTTGAATTGACAGTTTATCATCGGCCCTACTTTTCTAATCAATGAGAGTGACAAGGAATTTTCTGGAAAAATATGTTATCAAGTTGGCCATGGATTGACACATGCATAATTATTTGACCAATAGTTCATTGTACAATTTGACAGAAGTGACCTTTGACAGTCAACTTCAAGAGCCGGGAATAGATAAAAATTGATTGAAAAGAAATCTTTATTATTTGTTAAATTGACAGTTTGTCATTGGCCCTTCTTCTAATTAATGACAATGACAAGGGACTTTCTGGAAAAATTTGTTATCAAGTTGGCCATGGATTGGTTTGACAGAAGTGACCATTGACAGTCAACTTCAAGAGCCGGGAATAGACAAAAATTGATTGAATATTTATACTTCAAAATCGAATTCGTATATAAACTATGTATATGTATACCTATTGTGCCGATCTGTATCTTCAATAACGGATTCATATCGGAAATATCGATGATTGTTGTGCTACTGGGGTTATAAAGTGAGCTACAAAATGGCGATTTGTGATAGTTTTTCTGATACTTTATACACTAAACTCTATTGTATAAACAATTGATTATTATTCTCGGCTCTTGACTGGCAACCACGTCATACCTATAGAATGCCATTTTTTTTTCTAATACTCAACCCCCCATTTTGTATGTTCCTTATAGGTATATGAGAAACAAAATGGCATTCATTTGAAGCCAATCAAGAGCCGGGAATAATTGAAATTTTGAAGCATCTAATGCTTTACATTTCAACATTAAATTTTATTATCCTCTTGTAATATCGCCATTTTGCGTCTAAAAATCCATTAAACTTTAATGCGTTAGAGATTAGAGATATACCTAATTTGTTCTTCGATGCTCATTATTTTCATTAGCTTTCAACTGATTCATCATTAGATTTGATTTTTGTACAAAAAGTGGAGAAATCGTCAACCAAGCAAGAGCCAATTGATTTATATGTAGAACGTTATAGCTTGAAAATTCCTTAAGGAATAGGTGCCCCATTTTACTATAATTTTGGAGGCCCAAAAAGGAATACCTAACTTAAAGAAAATGTAAATCCCAGAAAAGTTCCAAGAATCGATGTGATTCCATCAGGGGAAATACTAAAACAGTAATTACATATCTTATAGGAAAAGAAGATTCTCAGTTTCATACTTTGAAGTTCCTCAGAAAGACCATCTTTGAGATTGGGCAGTAATACAATGATTATCAAAATCAAACAATTCTTTACCTGTAGATGACAGTCTTCTTCTCAGCTGATTCCTGCACAAAAAATCCTGATAAGAATCGTACTTTTGCAGAAGCCTGTCGATGGGAAAATCCCCAGACGTAGCCGTATTATCGCTGTTTTTCGTCGATATCGATAAGTGCGACATCCTTTTGTCTATTTGCACGTAGGACGGTGTGTAGATGTAACCATCGTTCGGTTCCATTGTTACCATTAATCTAAAACAAAAAAAAATGACTCATTAAATTCAATTAAACTTCAATAGTAGGTATAAGTAATTAAAACAGTTTTGACCTTGCTCTAGTGCAATTATTATTGCTTTTATAGAAATTTAATGTATCAAAAATATGAACGCATCACATATATAATCATAGAAATTCCAACAACCATGTTGCACACATGTGTAATAACGGATACTTAACATAAGGCCAGTTCTTTTGTGGTTTACCTAGTTTGTGCATTAAAGTGCCGTCACAATCTGATTGCGTTTGTTAACTGTAACTTTTTTACAATAATTCATAAAATGACTCATTATTGAACATCTTGTAATTATATTCAAGATTCAAGATGACAATATAAAAAAAAAATGTAATTTGTTATGTTACTCAACGACGGGTGATTTCATGGAAATACGGTTTGAATTAAAAATTGTTTTGAAAAATCGTGGTCTTGGAAGGTTGTATGAGTTTTGCCTTGTAGTTTGCTTGTAGTTACAGGGTATACCTACTTGAACATAATTTTTCAGGAAATAGTGGATAAATTATGAGCTTTATGCATTATTTTCAATGTCAAACAAGTAAAGAATAATTTTATTTCATGAACAACCCAGTCGTTAACAATTTCCATGAATTATGATTCATTGCAAACTATAAAAGCTACAATGTGGATGATAAACCTAATCTACGTCCTACGAAGACATTATTGATGTATGATTGTCTAAATCAAAATATTGCAAGATACATAATTTAAGTCGCAAAAAAAAAACGTCAATTAATTATCGTCTAAGCGTAAATTAAATTACCAAAGATGACCTCATCATTATATATGTGTGAATCAGGTGTATAATTCTAAATAAAGTTATTGTTGTAGGAGGAAATAATAAGCCAAAGATTTTCTACTCCAAAACAAAGTCTCGAACTTTTTGAACAAGGGAACGTTAAATTACATTTCAAACTAAATCTGAAATAAGTCACGTTCCTCTCTTGGTTCAGTTGTACACGGCGTGAAAATTTAAAAGTTCTTTTTCTGTCTAGACTTGTCGGCAATCGTGGCCAAGATGGAACAGAGTTTATAGGTAAATAAACGTCCTGTTTAAATTGCAAAAGAAAAGCCATCGACGTGGCTTCGATATCGTCTCTCGGTGTCGGACCTTTTTGCCGCGATATTAAAACTGTTGTGCAGAAGACGGTGCCCCTGAGGGCGTGCAGGTTTTCTCGAGCGAGAACTGGGACAAATTGCACGAAGAATTATTTAGTTTTCTTGGTTTGTGTGATGAGATGAGCTTTGGTAATATTTATCATCAATCATGGAAAAGGCTTTTGTATTTTTCAAATTTGTAAAAGAAAGAATATCAGTGTAATTCTGCGAATCGTTTAAGGTGTTCGATTCAATTCTAAGTTCCATCTGAGCTATTCAGAGCAATACACAGTGTTACTTTATGCACTTCAAGGAGCCCCAAGATCTAATGTCCTCCATTCTTGTTCAAGTTCTTTTCCACTCTTCTCTCGACTAAAAGAACTTTTCACATGACGTGTTTGTATTCGCGTTCCGCATATCACCAGATAAGTGTTTATGAACCTGATCCTGATAAACCAGCCATAACTACTCCTTATCGTTTTAACAGAATGCCGTTTGGACTGAAAAATGCACCTGGAACTTTCCAGCGCTTGATCGATCAGTTTCGACGTAAACTCGGTAACATCATGGGACATTCAGTCCTACCCACCTGGAAATATCTCAGTTATCTAGGTCTTCCAAATCCAGAATTATATAGAGGTAAAGTTTTCCTTGAATCTCACTAACTTATGTGTAAGCCGATTAGGGTGAAGAGATAACTAATATGAAAAGAATAGTCTTGAAATCAACATCGATCAAATGAATCTTAATCTCAAATCAGCCTCAACAATCTTGCGGAAAGTGTCTTTCTCTTACTAAGGTGTATAACAGTATAACGGAACTTTACTATGGCCTGGTGTTCATTCATCGACAATTACGTTCTTTGATATTTTGAGTACAAATTGAGAAGTATCTGAGGCAAAACATGAAAAATTCAAATTAAATGAGCTTGTAACATCACACCTGGGACATTCTGGACTACCCTGTCCTGTCTTTCAACCCGTAAACGCCTGTAGTACAAGTACTCCGGAGAAATTAGAATTCCTCTGCGGAATGAGGCTGAACAAGCTGAATTTTTGCAGAAACCTTCGTTTTGGTTTTCTAAGAGAGCATTAAAAAAATCTCATATGCCTACCCTTGTGCGTCTTGAGATATCGAAGGTCAAAGATCATGAAAATAGGTTTTTGGCGAAAATCTCGCTTCCAGTACATCTGACGTTGAACAACCCAAAACAAAACTTACGTAAAATAGTATTTTCTACAAAAATGCTCATATACATTTTTTTTGTACGACTTACTGTTTTCGAGATATAGCGTGATAAAGCGGAAGCGCGCATTCAAAATAAGTAATATTGTATTATACTGCGGAGCTATAACTATAAATGCATTTTTCCTAATCTGTTAGTCTGGAAAATAAAACTTCCAATAATAATTTGTTTTTTTTTCGGATCTTATCATTTTAACAGGATGCCATTTGGACTAAAAAATGCACCTGGAACTTTTCAGCGCTTGATCGATCAGTTTCGACGTGGACTCAGTAACGTATTAGTGCTAGGGTACCCAGACGATACCTGTGTGCTCTCCAGGACTTTTGAGGAACATATCGAGGACTTAAAACTCGTGTTTTCACATTTCCGCCAATTCAATTTACGAGCCAAACGTGAAAAGTGCAACTTCGCGTGTAAGATTGTTAAATACTTTGGTCATTTGTAAAAGTGGCTATAGGTACTTTGTGCTCTTTAAGGATGATTTCAGTCGTTATCGCTATTTCTAATTTTTGAAAGAATAATCTGAAGTTGGAGAAAAATTAACAATTATGTTAACTGAAGTAAAAACAGTAGGATATACAGTAGAAGAGCTACTCTCAGATAATGGTGGGAAATTTGACAATGATCAAATGAGAAACCTGAACCTGATCTCTTCTTTCGGAATTTATCATTTTAAGTTTTAACAGGATGCCGTTTGGACTGAAAAATGCACCTGGAAATTTTCAGCGCTTGATCAATGTTTCGACGTGGAATCAGTAACGTATTAGTGCTAGGGTACCCAGACGATACCTGTGTGCTCTCCAGGACTTTTGAGGAACATATCGAGGACTTAAAACTCGTGTTTTCACATCTCCGCCAATTCAATTTACGAGCCAAACGTGAAAAGTGCAACTCTGCATGTAAGATTGTTGATCATTTGGTCACTCTTGATGGATTTTTCGTGAATCCGGCAAAAGTGGCAGCAATTGCGAGTTTTCTTATGGTACAAATCAAATTGGAAGTTGATATAAAAATCACAACTGAATTTTTTTGCAATTTTTTTCATCATAAAATTCCTGTAAAATCGTCTTTGAAGGTTCCTGAAAAATACTTTGAGCCATCCCAGCAATTTTAAACTTTCAGGATTTATTAATTAGAGTTTTCTCATAATACAAAACAAATTGGAAGTTGATATGTTGAAAATGTTAAGTATTCTACAAAAGTTGATGAAGATTCTTGTCATTTATGCATACTGTCCCTGGTCGATTTTGATTCGGTCTTTGACCGTGCATGACCAACACACAAGGTGCAAAGGGCCACAGGCAAACCACTTCTTCTTTGGCTGCCTCTCTTTCGAGACCTTCTTCAGTTTTCTCAGCATGCCAACGTAACGACGTCACCTCCTTTTTGCTTGGAATTTAACGGTTTTAAAGAAAGACCCTTTTACAATTTCAATACCTGACTTCTAGTTTTAGATAACAGGTGAATGAAAAAATCTCCCCCATTTTCCACAAAATGAGTGTGGTCTCTTGTAGAGCACGTGTCAAAGGGTGGAAACACATTGATTACATAAAGGAAACACAATACCATGCTGGTACAGGCAAAAAAACTAAACGCCTCGTAGAAATTGTAATTTCTTCTTGTGGGTTCGAAAACAATATTCGCCTGTCACGCTGCATGGGTTTATTATCGATTCCATAGACCCATGAATAAAAGCTATTTAAAATTTTATGAACTGCACCCCTCTTATATGGAATCTGTATTAATAGACTTTCAAATGCCATATTTAACCCATCGATTTGCATAAAATGGCGTTTTGAAATGATGCATGTGTTGGTGGCAATGCATTTTATGAATGATGAAAATCTTGATAGACTATAATTTGCGATGGTTGGCATTCATATTTCATCACATTCACTTAATAAATCACCAAAAAACTATTATTGTCCCTCTCTAATGGACCTCTGTTGTTGATGTTGAAACATCATAAAATGTTGAACATCTGGTAAGCAAGATAGTAAATTTGGTGTATACTACTATCGAAATTTCACTTTTATTTTTGTGTTTTTATTATGATGATCTCATTGTTTTGAACATTATATGACTCATTCAACAATCAATTATAATTATCTACATATTATATTTTTAATTAGATATGAAACTTATAAATGGCAATAATAAGGTTTTGGAAAAATGTCAAGATTATACATTAATGCTAAGTTTCCCAAGTTACAAGGATTAATTTATCAAGTTTAAAACCTTACACAATGAAAAAAAGCTTCTATCAATTTCTCTTTTTTATGTTTAAACGCAAATAGGTTAATTGCTACAAGGTTAATACGAGGTAACTTGAAGTTTTTCTATCTCAACTATTAACAAAGTGCTTAACTTTTGGTTAAAACTTTACTATCTTATGAATAAGTGAGATAATTTGTATTTATGTGCTAACTGATTGTTTATAATAACAAGTTAGCGAGGCAAAATCAAAATAATTCCATTTTTGTGTGGGATCGATTCATCATAATTTTGGTCATGTTGGTAGAATTTGAAAATAAATCATTATTTTTCCTGCTTGGTTTTTACTATGAGATTTTCAATATTTCATTCAATTCCTCCTATAGTTTTACAAACAAGTTA